GTATTATTGCTTTCCGTGTGTGGCCAGCTCACTGACAGTATTAGTTTGAACTGGGAACCTAATTTTTTTTAATTGTTTTAGAGTTTTTTGTTCTGGAGAATCCTGACATCAGTTGATGTATTAGCCAAAATTACTACTATTTTATTGTGAATAATAACAGAGGTGAGGGCAGCATCCATCAGCTGGTTAAAAAAAAAAAAAGAAAAAAAAAAGATGGCATGAACTTCTGAAGTCTCAGGCAGACAGAAGAGATTTTCCAGCACTCTCAGCTCTCTCAGTTTTGTGCTTTCTTAGGGCACAGACAGACTGCAGTCTTGCTACCCCGATAAAAGCATGGAGCCTTCTCCACAATAGATATTTTTCAAAATGCATTGTGAAAGGAGAAAGACATAATGCAAGATAGTTGGATTTAATTTTGTGAGGAAGAATCAGTGGAACATATTCAATACACCTTTTGCAAAAGGTTTCTTTTGTTTGAACTGGCTTTCATTATAAAGGCGTTGCCTAGAGGGGGTGATTAAGGCAGGAAAACTATCTGTAAGAGGAATGGTAACATGAGGTGGATCAGGAGGGATATGAAAAAGAAGATGCAGTGCTGCAAAGTTGAAAAGTCTCTGAGAATAGGACAAGACCTGTTTTTTTTTTCTCAATGCAAAAACTAAGCACAATGTTTTTGTTGGCCCACTGCCTAAAGAATGTAAGTGAGAAGGCATATAATCCAGTGAAGTACATTAGTCAGGCAGACAAACTTATTTTGAAGACTGCCATGTAGATATGTTGACTGTAATTGTAAGAGAATACTGTCTGGGTTGTTTAAAACATTTCATCTTTCTCAGTGTGTTTTACACATTTCAATTTGCTTGGTAATATGATGTGATTGTAGTACAATACTGCACTTAAGCAAGGAAAATACAGCTGAGTTTTACACTACGGGTCTGTTTTCTAACTGTTCACATCTGCATACAGTATTTTTATTCTTTTATAGTATGTTTATCTGTGTGGTTATAACATAAATATACAGAAAGATTTTATAGACAAATCCTTTTTTATATTTGAGCAATTTGTCAAGGTTATAAAATGTATGGCTTAGAAAGGTCCCTAATTATTTAACACTGGTACATAGAACCAGAGGAAAATATTAGGACATGCTTAAATTGACTTGTACTGCTCAAAAAGGCAGGAAGTCATTACAAATAACATTGAAAAATGATTTGCTAGCAGACATTTTGCCACTTCATTGAAGTAGTTCCCACAGACCCAAGTTTGTCTACATGTGATTTCCAGGATCAGGATCCTCAATATTTATTTAAGGATTCTTGAGTTTTCAAGTTAGATAAAAAGTAATAACAAAAATTTATTAAAATTATATATTTATATAATTATATTAGGTATATAATAATATTACCATATTTAATATTCTTTGTATCTCGCATAATTATTCATTATTATAATAAATAATGATAAAATTCTTTTTACTTTCATGTTGGACATTAATTTTCAAGAATGGATATAGTTTTCTAAAGTTCTCTATAACATTACACCAGCAATATTTCACATATTTCTCTGCTTCATCACTGTTGTTAGCTGACAGTGATTTGTGTTCTCAGTGCTAGGATTAATTCTGTGCATCAAACATGGAAACTGTGGTGAAGGAAGAAAGTAAGCTCTTTCCTAATGTATTCTTCTAATGTATTCTTTTGTAAAAGTGTTGCGAAAGGAGACCCTTCTCACCTTTCTGAGAGGGTACACTCTCTTTATTCAGTTGAGCATCATGGTTAGCAACAAAAACTAGTACTTAACTTGTTTTTCCACTCTTCTGCTGTCTCCTATTATTGCTTAATTCAGCATGAAAGTTGGGAATAATTATATTTTATGATCTATCCAGCTTTTGTATTCATACTACAAGTGAATAGTCTTTCAGCAATGAATTTTATAGGCTACAAGTAAAAGCCATTTAAGCAGTAAGGATGATTTTGGTCCTCTTAAGGCTGCAAGACATTATTCAGTGAGGTACCATATTTTATGTTGCTTTGATGAAAAATATATATTTATGGATATTTTTGCATCTCCTACATCTTAGTTCTGCAAGGAAAGATAATGACAGAATTCTTTTTTTTTTTTTTTCTTTTTAATTAGGGTTCCAGTTCAGTTGTAAAAGTTCTGCATGATCTAATTTGGAGCTGATTAAATGCTTAGGAGCAATCTGTTTGCTCTCACATAGAACCCCCATTAACATGCCAGCTACAGTTATATGGAAACAGGCTTAGATGGCTTCATGTCCCTGCAGAGGAAGGAGATTTAAACTTTGAAATAAAAAGACTTGAAGACCTTATTTAAGTAGAGCCTGGGTAAACTAGCAGCACTCACTGAATAATGAGTTATGGACAACTCTGAGTAGCAGCTATCAAGCTATCATACCTGTAAATTTGAGCAATGTGTTTCCACTTTAGAGCAATTTCATTCGTCTGGGTAAACTAGCAGCACTCTGTGGGAAGTGAGTTATGGACAGCTCTGAGTAGCAGCTATCATACCTGTAAATTTGAGCAATGTGTTTCCACTTTAGAGCAATTTCATTCATATATTTCAGAGCAAAAAAAAGGTCACCAATTTCTGCAAAGGCCCTCATTATATATTCCTTTAGCATTCAACATACAACTTGAGAGGAGGTTTGTGGAATTATACCTGAGAGAATTCAGAGACAGCTGTGGATGCAGAATAACTAAACTTAGGGTTCTCTGCCAGCAATTCTGTGAAGAACGTTGAGATTTGCATCAAACTAATATCAGCATTCATAGTTCAGTATTAAGGACCATTCGTCAATATGTTTCAGATGTTTGACTAGTGACACAGTTAGGGGAAAATGTGCAGTCAGAATCTGAAGCTGACTGATGATTAAATTTGACTAGAAACGTCGTGAATTTGTTTCAGATGTTTGACTAGTGACACTGTTAGTTAGGGGAAAACCTGCAGTCAGAATCTGAAGCTGACTGATGATTAAATTTGACTAGAAACTCTAAAAATAGTTGACATGATAGCAACACAAGGGTGTACAGTATTATGTCATTTTTAATGCGTCATTGTAACTTAACACTGGTCTTTCGGTTTAATTATAATTAACATCCTCTGACTGTTTGTATTTGGCTTACAGTATGTCTCAATGTTATGTGTTGAGAATTGTAAAAGGTGCATGATTGTGCTGTTTCTGTTCAAGTTGTTTCTAATTAAAAACTTCACTGTCCAGTGTTCTTTCAATAAGGGTACCTAATACAATATTTACATTATTTTAGGTATAGAGAAACTGGCTTTTCAACCAAACTGAATGATGCATCTTAATATCCAAGAGTGCGCGTGCATGTATATCTACACATGTATACACTTACATATATATTGTGAATTGGTTTTAGACAAGAGCTCCTAATTCTTTCTTACTCACCTTATGCTTTTCAAATCTCAGGCATCTGGAAGGAATCAAGACTTTTCATGTAAGCTGAAAATCATAATTCACTCTATGTATCCTTAGAGTGGTAGTCACTAGGACTCCTCTCCCCAAAATTAGGGACAACAAATAGCATTAAATAACAGTCTAATGACTAATAAATGCCAGATAATACAGCACTCTTCTACCTGCATGAGCAGCTTAGTAATTGGAATGATTGTGTCTTTTTATCCCATTTGATACTTTAGGTTTACAGCCACTAAATTCCATATATATGTTTTGATTCTTTTGATTCCACAACAGAAAGCATTTACCTTTCTTTTATGTTCTATCTTCTATTGTTTCACATTTTCTAAAAAGAAAATACCTTTATGAATCCTTGAGCTGGCCCAGAATTGTTGCTTTTATTTTTTTAAATTCTGTAATAGCTAGATTTTGACTACATATCTGAAGTCTTAACTTCTCTTTCAAGTAATAAAGGAGTTACTTTCCATAAAGTTTGAAGTTCAAAAGGAAAGATATAAGCAATTTTTCATATTGTCAACTTATCATCTGAAAGACTGTCTTTCTTCTAGAACTTTAAATAATTAGTGAAGAAAAAAACTCTGAATATTCATCCAAATTCTAGTGTTTTTTGTATAATGTTTAATTGAATAGTTCAAATACCAATCTTAAAATATACTTGCATATATTCATATAAATGAATAAATTTAGTAATAACTCTTGAAATAATAAAGTTATTTGTAATGTAATGCATGAATTTCAATAGCAGTGCATATACAAATATATTTTAGTTTAGCAGTGTGAGGTAGCCAAAATATATTTAGGACTGTGACAGGATTTGTGGGAGCTTTCTCCTTTGCAAGGATGCTCCTGGCTTTGAATTTCAAACACTAGCTTTTGTAGCATGTGAGCAAAAGTAATCCTCTCTTTTTAAATTTTTTTTAAAATTTATTTTTAAAAAGACAGATAATTACACATCAGTTAACATTCAGTTAAGTCTTTGCTGATGGGCTTTGCAGAGCATTTTATATTTTGCTTTCTTTCGTTTGGGCTTTACTTTTGGGCTGGGATATTTTTGGTTTGTTTTTTTACTGTCAGTCTTTTCTGAGAAGTTGCTGATACCACTGTTAGTAGTAAACTGTTCTTTGAAGGAAGCTTTAATAAACATTCTAGTTTGAAATACAAACTGTAAAAGTACAAAGCTATCGGGAGGAGAATGCCATCCTCCCTGTTGCCTGAGAATTATTTTTTTTCATGTGAAAGCAACATAAATCTTAATAGAAAAACTAATGGTAGCAAGGTAGACTAAAACAACCTAATTTTGGTCTGAAATTAATCTACTGTTATACAGTAATATACTGTATTAATTGAATTTGCGTGGCTCTAGTACTTTTTCCATTGTTTTCCAAGCATCATTCTAATTATAATTTTCTGTTTGGTCGCTACTTGGATAATGTAAGTGGTACCCATTATTGAAAGGTAGTCTGTATTTGTACTAATACAGAGAATGCCAGTTTAGAAATGAGCCTGATTGCATGGTTCATTTTGTTCTCCTTTGTAGAGCCAGGCTGCGGCCCACTACAAAGGCACTAAACATGCCAAGAAGCTCAAAGCACTGGAAGCCATGAAAAATAAGCAGAAATCTGTTACTACCAAGGACAGCGCAAAGACTACCTTCACTTCCATCACTACCAATACCATCAATACCAGCTCTGACAAAACAGGTTAAGAGACAATCTTTGTTGGTTTCGTTTGGTTTAGTTTTGATTTGGCTTGTAATTTTTTTTTCTTCTTGTTTAATTCCATGTCTGTTTGGTTATGTGCTTGCCAACATTGATTCATGCTCAATCCATCTTTCTGTGTGATGTTGATTTCTTTAAGTCCTTTCAGTAGGCTGGTGATAGTCTGATAGTCACGGAGCTGATTTCTTTTAGTGAAAAGAGGCTTGACATTCTTTTTATGATGGAATGCAGTACTCATTACGTGATTAACATATCAACTGATCTCAACCTCCTGGTCTGTATGCACTATCTCTATCAATAATTCTATATGGCACATTTCTTTTAACCACAATGTAAAAAATTGCACTATTTGTGTCTAGAAGCCTCTTAAAAATCATTTGCACTAAAAACCTAATTTTCATAAATTTCAAACATTGCATTATTTTTTTAAAATGGCTATTGCATGGTTTTGAAATGGAAAAGAGCTGTATAACCTCTATTCCACACAATCAGGTAAGTGCTATTGATGCCAATTGTTCTGCTTAAAAGAGTCTTCATACTGAAATAATATTGTTTAATTTATTGTGTGGATAAAAGTTACTCTTTTGCAAATAAAATCTACATATTTGAAAAGTCAACAGGATTTGGTTGTCATGGCATTTTAAAAATGCAGGTATTGTTGGAAATTTCAAAGGAAGATTGTAAGGTCTCTGAGAGGTAGTCTAGTGTCTCATGAGGTATGACTGCCCTTGTGTATAAAGGGACACAGTTTACATCTTTAGACATAACTAATCTCCCTCCCCAAGCAAGGCAAAAATAACGACAGGAAAAATCCACACAGCTGTGAAACATGAGATCTACCTATTGATGCTGAAAATGGCTCGTTTGGAACCACTTCTGATCCAATAAGTTCAGCATTGTAAATGGATGTGCAGTAACCAACTATAATACAACAGGAAAGTACCTTGCAGGCATGTGCAGTATATTCTTGAAGACATATCTTCACTATATTTGTTATAGCCAGATAGCTCTATGTCTTTCTCTATAAATATATCTTAATTATAATGTACCATTATAGACAGCATTTTCTTTTTCCTATGCACATTTATAACATAATTATGATGGCTTTAAGAAATATTTGCTACATTGTTTTGCCTTTGCTACCACAAGAAAAGAAAATATTCTGAGAGGTTTTCTGTGATGAAAGAAATTAAGTATGGGAGAATAGGAAAAATGTCAAAAGTTATTTGGCAAAATATGCGTTTCTAAGTATACCAATACCTTCAAAAGTTTCCTGTGATGTTACTTGTTCAGATATTCAGAACAGGAAGGAGGATGTTGTGTGAAAGAGTGATTTATTGTTTACCAAATATTATCTAGTGGCTGAAGAAAATAACTGAAGAAAAGAAAGATCTTTTACAGATTTAAACGGTATAATTCGAAAGCTTTTATCTTACGCTGCGTAAGTTTGAAGGATTTTCCTATGTGCCTTAAAACCAATCTGAATTTTTCCATCAAGCTTTGCATTAGATTCCTGACAAGATATATGAACTGTCCTGTATCCAAGGTCAGTAGTCCAAATCAGTTTTTATATCAGCGTAAGTAAGAAAATATCAGAAATCCAGCTGCACTCATAAGCAGTGGCCTATGCTGGAGTTTCATCAGCTTTACACAGTGGTTGCAAATTCCTGGATTCACTTCATAGAATGTGAAACATATGTGTAAGTGTGTAAACATATGTGTATATGTATGAATACATATATTTTTTCTGTGCTAGAAACACTGACCCTAATGGGATTCTAAAGTTACATATTGATGTTAATTGACAAAAAACCAAAAAATCTTACAATTTCTTAAATTATTGAGACCCAAATTCAGCTGCTGCCAAAAGCCCTATTCAACAAGTTGTATTCAAAGTAAGGTAAGCAGTTCAACCTAGATGCAGTTAATACAGGTCAGCATTGTTTTGACTGGCAACAGAATAAAATCCTCGGTGTAAATTATCCTTTGTCAAGCATGTATACCTAGTGAGGGAAAAAAATTGGAAAAGGATGACATTTTCTGTCTATTATAAAAAGTCAAAAATTTAATGAATTGGATTTTATTTTCTTCCTGGTTGTTCTTATGTCCTGTATTAACTTGATAGAACTTTTAAGGGCAAAATGATTCTGAACATCAGAATATACTGCACTGTGTGTGTCTCTACATTTGGAAATTATCATTGTAAAAGTCAAACATCCTGATAATAGTACGCAGTTCTCAGGGAATTAATGAATTTAATTCATGAATTTATCTTTCATGGCTAGAAGAAAGTTACAAAGTCCATGTACTTGTGATCATTTGGAACAAAAGATTTTTCTACAGTATTTTAAAACTGTCTGCTGAGGATTAATAGTTGAACCCACATACACTGAGGATAGGGTCAAGTACATATCACTTCTTATATATCATCTACAGCAGGGGTTAAATGCTGAATTGCATGTCAGTCACAGCATATTGGTCAGGGCTTCAGATCACTAGTTCTGTGGGTCCTTAGAAGCTACAGGAAACAAAATGTTGTCAGGAAAGCTGTGCTGCTATGCAATAAAGGAATGTGAAAAAAATTATATAGTATACAAACTGATTCAAGGGCTGAAGCAGTAATTTTTTATGTTTCTTATTCTGGAACTATTTTCTTAAATCTGGTGCCAGCATGTGTTATTGACACTGTGCAGCTCACAATATAATCTAACGTTTTAAAACCTCTCACATAGAATTCGTGGTGTTTAAGTGAGGGGTTAAAGAGAAAACATAAGGTATGAGGGTTTTTTGCTCATTCTGTGAAAATTGCTAATTTTTCTTTCCTTTTGACTAACTTTTGGAATTATTAGAAGGCTTGAACTCAAGGAGTCTTTGAGCAATAAAACGTCATGAAGACATCATATAATGGCAATGCCATTCTCAAAATGTGATAACTTTTTTATCCTATCTACTATTTAACACATTTCTTTCATCTGTATTTACCAATTTTTATGTTACATGGTTAGTCAGGACAGAAAACCAGAAAATGTGAGCTTTACAAGGAGAAGCCTACTTTATGGCATTATATAAACCAGGTTTTACTATTTCTTGATTCTCCAATTCAGGTGTGACAATAAAAATGCTTATTTTTTGCTACTTATTGACACACACCCATACACATTCCCTGAGAGGAAATTGTTAAACATCTTTGAAAGCTTTGCAAATTGCTCCTTCTTTCTGAAAAAGTATGTTTTCTTCAAAAAGCTGCTTCATATCTTCAGTTGTAAGGACTGATACTTTAGAGCACTTGTCAAAATATATTTAGATAGAGTACATTCTATCATCCTAATTAAAATACATGTCCAGTAAAGTTATTGCCCTGCACTTGGTTTTTTGGAAAATAGATTGAATCACCAATATTACATCCATATAAAATTATGTCCCTCTGCTTGTTGCATATGTCTAAATATTAATCTTTTCCAAAGCTATGTGAAGTTAAGCAGGACGCTTCATGACCACGTTATCACAAATTAAGTCTTGAAGATTTTGAGCTGCTTTATTTATTTGTTTATTTATTTATTTATTTATTCAACAGAGAAATCAGTGTGAGTTATATCATTTGGTATCAATGGAAAAGAAGTAATAGACCTTTCAAAGGGGAAAAACATGTCGTTAAGAGCCATCAGTATGGTGAAGTCTTTAATGCTACCTTTGAATGTTATACGCTGTGCCTTGGATCCTATGCACTCAAATGCGATGAACAGCTCTTAAAAACAGACAAAAATGTGATGAGCAGAAAAAGTGTGTATCTGGGCCAAGGCACAGACAAGATCATCTATCACTAGTACAGTCTTAACAGCTTAAAGACCCCTATGCTGTCAAGAGAACAAAATACTTGTGCCTGTCCTAAAAAGTTTACAGTTTCACATAGGATGAGAAACAACTTAAGGAGCAGACACCGTAAATGTAACAGGCAGGTGTTTAAAGGAGTGGTAACATAAACGAGTTCAAGTGATAAAGGCATCACAAGAAATGAAAACACTGAGGGATGGATTAGAAGGAAATGGAAGAGGGTTGGGTTTTTTTCAGATACTGAACATGTGTGGGTAATAGCATTGGTGAAGGCATAAGATCTCTTTATTTTTCCTTCACTGGCTCATATGAAAATTCTTGTATAAAAAATTTTAGTTTCTTTATCCCTTTACAATTCCATTTTTTAAATTTGTTTTTCCCTTTTCTTTCTGTCTAAGATGTGGTAGGATATTTCTGGTCAGCAGAAGAAACTCATTCATGAAATAGCAATTTCAGTACAACTGGGATAATTATGAAATTGAGAGCAGTTGGAATGGGAGAGAACAGTCATTCAGACAAGGTCTTGGACATGAAAGTGAAGGCAGGGGGGAGAAAGCAATCAGAAATGATGTGGTAATTTAGGGTAAACTTTGCAGGAGGAGGAAAGGTAGATAGCATGAAATAGAAAGGTTTAAAAAAATTAGTTTGGCAGCCAAAATACCAGAGGAGCAGAGAATTCTGAGGTTTTGTGAAGGGACGTCATTGTGGATGTCTGAAGATTGACAGGGCCATCCCTACAGGTCAGAGCAGAGTCAGCCTGAGCAGGATACTGAGTATATTTTTCGTTGAGTTTTGAGCACCTTCACAACTTTTTCTGGACAACCAGTTCTATGGTTGACACTCTTAAAGAAGACCAAAGAAGTTTTTCTTGTGTTTCAGTCCAATGTCCTGTATTTCAGTTTCTGGCTGTTGTGCCTTTTTCTGTCAGTGGACACCAATTAAAAGAGTCTCTGTATTTTATATGCCCTGACTTCATCAGGTATTTACTTATATACACTGCTGGTTCATTTTTCAAGCAGTGCCCTCCAGGTTTCCAAGTCCTTCTTCACAAAGCTGCTTTCCAGATGCTTAGGCCCCAGCCCAGACTGATGTGTAGGGTAATGCCTTCCCAGTTGTGGGACTTTTGTGCTTTCCTTCATTGAACTTCAAGG